GGTGGCCGGGAGTGGCCACTGCCCTCCAGTCTGGGCAACAGAGTGAGACTCCAACTCAGGAAAAAAAAAAAAAAAACTTCACTTAGGAAGGCAATCCCAGAACTGGTGGGAATGATACAATGAAGCCCATAGTGGGAAAAATGTGTCTTATCCCTGGAGATACTAAGAATTAAATATAAAGAAGATGTTGTCAATTAGACCTATATGGTTAACGTATTTGTGAGAGGAGAATTTGTTCCTTTTTTAAGGAATGTCTATTGTTTAAGTAAATTTGACATCTCAGAGTCTCTAACAGATTAGATTTGTGATTCTAATTTAAAGTATGTAGTTTATTTAGACTTGTAATTTTATATTGAAATTGTATTAGGTTTATAAACAATATTAGAATACTTAAAAGAATTTAAGACTTACCATATTTATGCTTAATTTACTAGATTTACAATAATTACTTGAGTACTGGTGAAGGATCTATTTGTTGATCAGACTACCACAAAAAAAAAAGTAATGAAACTGAGTATCTTAAATTTTTTTTTTTTTTTTTTTTGAGTTGGAGTCTCACTCTGTCGCCCAGACTGGAGTGCAGTGGCCGCTCCCGGCCACCGCAACCTCGCCTGCTGGGCTCCAGCGATCCTTCCGCCTCAGCCTTCCAAGTAGCTGGAATTACAGGCATGTGCTACCACTTAAATTTCTAAATGCAGTTGAAAATGTTTAAAAGGAGTTAATAACCAAATTTGAAAGTGGGCCAAACATTAATCAAAGCCTCCTTGAAGGTGATTGCAAAAATATGCTAGATTTTTAGAGTAAGATTTTGAAGTTGAGTGAAAAGCTTAAGGGAAGAACTACGATTTTTACTTTGTCACTTTAATAACGTGAATATTAATTCTAAAACCAAAACAGTCTCTGAATAATCTTTGCTGGGTCTCCAAAGTAATCACTTGGGATATCATAAAACTCATATCAACATAGCATTTGAATTGTTAACCAGATATGCTTTACTTTTTGTTTGTTTGCTTGTTTGGGTTTTTCAAGTCGAAGTCTCACTCTGTTTCCCAGGCTGAAGTACAGCGGCATGCTCACGGCCACCACAACCTCGACCTGCTGGGCTCAGGCAATCCTTCCAGCTCAGCCTCCCAAGTAGCTGGAACTACAGGCGCATGCCACCATGCCCAGCTAATTTCTTGGTTTATTGTAGAGACAAGGTCTTACCAAGTAGCCCAGGTTAGTCTCGACTGCACCCAGCATGTAATTTGTAATTTTTACTCTGTAATTTTAAAAAATCACTGCCCTCAAGTTGCTTTGAATCTAGTAGGGAGACAGTTTCATGGATAAGAAAAAGACAACAGACCAACACTATGATGGGGCCAGCTCCATGTGGGGAGGGCTGTCAATAAAGGCTTCAGAGAAGAGACACACTTGAAGGACTTCCACACTTCTGCCGACAGACTTTACAGACTTCCCGTTGCATGAGATCATAACATTCCCTCGTGGTTAACTGGATGTTCTATTACTTGCAGCTGAAAGCAAGTAGCAGCTGCGGGTGGTGGCCAGGCATGCAGGCAAGGCCACTTTACTTCTGGTAGAAGTCTCTGCGTGGCTCAGAGGCAGGGTGCATATTCCCTGTAACACAGGCTGATTTGTCAATGTGCAGTCTCTGAAAGATTTTAATCAGGGACAACACAATCATTTGTGTTTGGGGAAAGATCACACTAAAAATGTTGTGGAGAAAAAAAATCACATGATGATGTACACATATGTGTATTTAAAAATGCAAATACAGGCTGGACGCGGTGGCTCATGCCTATAATCCCAGCACTTTGGAGGTCAAGGAGAAAGGATTGCCTGAGCCCATGGGTTCGAGCCCGGCCTGGGCAACTTGGTGAGACCTCATCTCTACAATAAATAAAAAAATTAGCCGGGCGTGGTGGCGTGCAGAGTAGTTCCAGCTACTTGGAAGGCTGAGGCAGAAGGATCACCTGAACCCAACAGGTCAAGGCTGCAGTGGCCATGAGTGTGCCAGTGCACTCCAGCATGGGAGACAGAGTGAGACTCCAACTCAAAAAAAAAACAAAAACCCACATACCAGTGGTCACCTCAGTGGCTCTCTCAGTATTTTCCTCTTCTTACTGATGAGTAAGCTGCAGGAGAACATTCCACCCAGATGTCCCATGGGCATATCCTGCTATAACGTCCAGAAGTCCTGTGGTAGCTACTTCCTCCCCAGTAGCTTCTAAAGCCATCCCCACTGCTTCTGCCTGTCCTTTCTTGCCTGGGCAATTGCAACAACCTCCCAACTGATCTCCCTCCCTGCAAGTTCACTCTTCAGCCCATCTTCCATGATGCCGATTCTTTTCTCTTTTTTTTTTTTTTTTTTTGAATAGGAATCTCACTCTGTCACCTAGGCACGCTTATGGCCACCATAGCCCTGACCTGTTGGGCTTAGGTGATCCTTTCACTTCAGCCTTCCTAGTAGCTGGAACCACAGGGGTGTGCCACCATGCCCGGCTAATTTTTTGACTTTTTGTAGAGACGAAGTCTGGCATGCGCCAGTAGTTCCAGCTACTCAGAAGGCTGAGGCAGAAGGATTGCTGGAGCCCAGCAGGTCGACTCTGAAGTGGCAGTGAGTATGCCACTGTGCTTCGGCCTGAGCGATGGAGTGAGACTCCAACTCAAAAAAAAAAAGTGCAATCCATTGCAGACCAAATTTTACAAAATAGAAATATTATAGCAAGTATAGTGGATCATGCCAGCAATTCTAGCACTTTGGGAGGCCAAGGCAGGAGGACTGCTTGAACCTAGGAGTTTGAGACCAGCTTGGGCAACACGGCGAGACCTCATCTTTACAAAAAATCAAAAAATTAGCCGGGTATGGTGGCATGTGCCTATAGTCCCCCAGCTACTCTAGAGGCTAAGGCTGGAGGATCACTTAAGCCCAGGAGTTTGAGGCTGTGGCGAGTCATGATCATGCCACTGCACTCCCACCTGGGTGACAGAGTAAGACCCTGACTCAGAAAAACAAACAAACAAATAAATACCATAGCAAGCTCAACTGTTATGAAAGTTGCCAAATGCCTGCTCTCATTTTCTGAGGTTCCTGTTCAGCAGGGGCCAGTCCCGGCTCACAGATCAGCTCAGGTTATGGACCACATGTGGGTAGCACTGCTCGAGCCCACAGATATTCCTCATTCCTTGTCTGATGCACTGTCAGAAAAGGGACCAGAAAAGCCGACTGTTAGACTTTTATGAGTTAGGAAGAAGGGCAATAAAGGATGCCAATCTTGATAGTCAGAGACTGTCCACCAGTCTGTCGCCACAGGAAGGGAGGAGGAGGACAAATCACACAAGCAGGCACACGGAGGGCACAAAGCCCAGACTGGCTCTCTGGACCTGGCTCCAGTGCCAGAGTCAGGAGGTATGTAAACCTCTGTCATCAGCCGGGCTGGTCTCCGAGATACACAATGAGCATGCCATGTACCCGAGCTGAGAAGGCTCCTGAGAATCACTTCTCAGACATCAGAGTGCGTTCAAGGCTCTGACAGTATTATCACAAGAAAAACATCAGACACATTCCAATAGATGGCATCCCACAAATCCCTAACGAGTGCCGCTCAAAACTGTCACTCAAAACTGTTGTAGTCATCAAAGAAAGGAAAGGCCAGGTGCAGTGGTTCATGCCTATAATCCTAACACTTCAGGAGGCCAAGGCAGGAGGATCACTTGAATCCATGAGTTCGAGACCAGCCTGGGCAACATAGCAAGAACTTATCTGTATAAAACAAACAAGCAACCAACCCACACAAAAAAAGAAAGTCTGAGGAACTTTGCCACAGCCAAGAGGAGCCCAAAGAGACATCACAAATAAATCTTCTGTGGTATCCCAGAGGGGAACCTGGGACAGAAAAAGAACATTAGGGATAAACTAAGGAAATCTGAATGAACTCTGGTTGTTAGTTAATAATAATGTATCAATATTGGTTCATGAATTATAACAAACATATCCTACTCATGTAGGATGCAAATAATAGGAGAAATTGGGTGTGGGGTAGATGGGAACTTTCTGTACCATCATCCCAATTTTTCTGTAAATCTAAAATGTTCTCAAAAATAAAATCTATTTTTAAAAAGAGAGAGAGAATGGTGGGCTGTGAGCAGAGGGGAACTGTTAGAGAGAGGCTACAGAAGAACAGCAGCTTTGGAAAGCCTCCATTGCTGCCACATCCAAAACCATTACAGGGAAACCTATCAAATTACCCAGCTGAAGGAAGGGCAGGCAGCATGAAACACAGAGAGCTGGGCGGAGGAGAATAAATTGGTGGTGACCACTAAGAGCTGCCCAGGCCAGGTGCGGTGGCTCACACCTATAATCCCAGCACTTTGGGAGGCCGAGGTGAGAGGATTGCCTGAGCCCAGGGGTTCGAGATGAGCCTGGGCAACTTGGCGAGATCTCATCTCTACAATAAATCAAAAATTAGTCAAGCGTGATGGTGCATGCCTATAGTTCCAGCTACTTGGAAGGCTGAGGTGGAAGGATCACCTGAGCTCAGCAGGTCGAGGCTGCGGTGGCTGTGAGCGTGCCACTGCTCTCCATCCTGGGCGACAGAGGGAGACTCCAACCCCAAACAACAACAACAAAAAACAAGAGCTGCCCAAGGGCCAGTGCAGTGGCTCATGCCTGTAATCCCAGTGCTTTGAGAGGCTGAGGCAGGAGGATTGTTTGAGTTCGGGAGTTTGAGACCAGCCTAGGCAACATAGTGAGACCTCGTCTCTACTAAAAATCAAAACATTAGCCAGGCATGGTGTTGTGCACCTGGCCCTAGCTACTTGGGAGGCTGAAGCAGAAGGGTCATTTGAACCCTGGAGTTTGAGACAGCAGTGAGCTATGATTGTACCACTGTACCCTAGCCTGGGTAACAGAGAAAGACCCTGTCTCAGGAAAACAAAAACAAACAAACAAAAACTGCCCAGAAGAGGCAGAATGGCAGGCTAATTAGAAAATCTATCCTTGTGAAAGTAGTGTTTCTCATTGTAAATGGCAAATTTGGCATCTGGTTTATGCTTTGAGCTTGTGTGAGCTAGGTTACTGTGAGTCAGTCTCACTTAGCCCGGTTTATCTGGAACATCAACAAACCAAGTTTCTAGGCACAGGCATCACTCATTCTTTGCTTAGTCACAGTGGCAGATACTCTACAGAAATTAGCAGAGAGGGAGTGACCACACAAAGCCTACCCTGTGAAGGAGTCCCATATAATTATCAGGCAATCTGGCCCCTTGTCTGCTGTGGCGATCCACCGCCTGTCTTCACTGACACATAGGCAGGAGATGACATTAGGGTGGCCCTATTGAAATAAAGAGAAAATTATCTGAAACACTCAAAATGTGGCCCAGCCTTGGGTACCATCAGGAAAGGGCAGGGTCCCCATGGAGAGATCTCAACTCCTTTCAAGGTTCATCTGGCTGAAAATTCTACTCCCGATGGCCTTCCTGGAGTTTCTCCATCACCTAGTAAGTGGTTTTCAGACCTTGTCTCTCTAAAATCCCTGAAGGATAAGCTATACTCCTCACAAGAGCCATGGCTTCCCAGGGGTCAAGGCATGCACCCAACTCCCAACCCAGGGCTCTCCCCTGCCCCCAGCCACCTTGAACCTCTCTGCCAGCCCCGTCTCCCTAGAACACTTTCACATCAGGCCTCTGAGCAGCTCTAGACCAAAAGGCTCCTCACTGGTCTCTGTTACTTCTCTTATCCTCCTACAGTCCTTTCTCCCACACAATGAGGAATCTTCTGGAAACAAAAAGGCAGCATTCCCTGATGGGCAATGGCTGCTGTTTCCCTCCTTCTTCACCTCCCTCCTTCACTCTGCACCAGACATACTGGCTGTCCTTCCAGGCCCGGGCACTTGGAGCTCCCTGTTCCACCCTCAAACTGTCTTTGGTTGGCTCATCTCATCCTCCAAGCCTCAGCAGAAACAGCACTGTCTTAGCACCTGCCCACTCGATCGATGTCCCCTCTCACCCTGATTTTTCTCTTAGGGCATTTTCACACATCTTCTCCGGCACTGGTTACACTCTGTAATCATTAAAGTAGGGTAATCATTCACTTGTCTGACGTCTGTCTCTGCCCTAGACTGCAAGCTCCATGAGAGCAGGATATAGATCTGTTTTGCTCATGACTATAGATCCATGGTCTGAAACACAGTGGCTATGATGAATGTCTGTGGAATGAACGAATGCCATCCAGTCAAGGTCATGGCCCGCCACCTGACTTGGCAAGGCTGGACTTCTGCCTGCGTGCTCCCCCCATCTCAGCCATCTGTGGTGCCTGCCCCTCCCTGGGCATCTGAGCATGCCTACTGCAACCTCTCCCTCCTCCCTCCGCAATGGCCACTGTGCTCACTACAGCACATTCCATGGAGCCGCTTGCTGGTTTTTTTCATGTATATTTCTGGACTTCAAAAGAGTAAATTCCTTAAGTTGCACCCACGTGTCTTGGATCCCTGGCACAACGCTGAGTACTGACTTGGGAAACACTTCATGATGTTTTTGATCTAGGTGTGGACTAAGGAAGGTCCTTAACAACACACGCCTACTGGAAAGGTCAGGTGAAACTGTTTACAACTAGTAGAAAGCCAGACACCAAGAAACAGGACATTTGCATAGGTGGATGGTGAATTGAAGGGGTCAAAAATGTCGGGAATGGAGGCAGCAGGGTGGTGTGAGGTGGACAGGCACGTGGGAAAGTGGGGAGGGCTCAAAGAAGGGAAATAAGGAACACCGCTGGGGGGTAAGGACAGGAGGACAAGTGGCCCACTTAGTGTTTCCCGGTCAGGAGAGCTAGGCTCCCCATTCACTAGTGCAGGCATGCGTAAGCCTTTGAACTGCTCTTAGCCTCCATTTCTCTTTCTGTGAAATGAGCACGGTAACACCCATTTCTTGACACAGCTGCAAGAATCAAAGCCCTTTGGAAAGTGGAGCGGAGACTGCATGTCCCTCAGGTCTGCCTCCTGAGGAACAGTTGTGCTTCCTTGTGTCACCACAGCGCAGTGGAGACAGGATCTGTGCTGTCTGTATTTTTGCAGAAAAGTAAAAAAATACAGATATTTTAAATTCTTATGACTACAAAATTAATATCAACTGCTGTTTGGAAGTTGATTCTGATTAGAATGAAAAATAACATGTGTTTTAAAGACAGGATTTCTGTGGTTCCAAGAAGACACAGGAAAGTATGACAGAGACAGTGAAGGCAGCCCTCGAGACAGAAAACAAATGGCACATGCAAGTGAAAGACAACCTCTTCCATTTGCAGGAAGAAAAGCCCTCCATACCTGAAGATGGTACTGATTATTCTGGAAAACATTGTAGAGGACCGCAGTGTGGGCGCAGACATACAGAAGAACTCTCTGGCTCCCCTCTCGAATATAGTACACGGGAAGAGAACTGTTCCATCCATACGACCAGGTCATGGTCTAGAAGACAAACATAAAACCAGTAAGATGCTATGGGGTGCTGAGCCCCAAGCTGGGGCTCAGCGTCCCGGGCACAAGTGCCTGGAGAAGGACATCACCTCTGCAGACCAGTGAAGAGCAACCACTTTCAGAACATCCTTGGTAGTATGTGACAATATGGGGGAACCTGGGAAATGTGATGTCAAGCCAGTCACAAAAGGCCACGCATGATATGAGTCCTTGTGTATGAAGTGTGCAGATTAGGCAATCCATAGAGACTGAAAATTGGTGAATGGTTGCCAGGGACCAAGCGAGGTGATTCAGGAAGTAACTGCCTAATGGGTATGTGGTTTCTTTGGGGGTTGATCAAAAAGGTCTGGAACATGTGGTTTCTTTGGGGGTTGATCAAAAAGGTCTGGAACTAGATAGTGATGATGGTTGCACAACCCTCTGAGGATGCTAAACACCAATCCATCGCATGCTTTAAAAAGGGCATATTTGATGAGGAAGTGAAGAAATTGGAACTCTCGTGAACCACCAGCGGGAACGTGAAATGGCAGAGCACTGGTGGAAACCAGTGTGACTAGTCTTCCAAAAACTGAAAACGGAATTACTCTATGATCCAGCACATGAATTATCCCAAATTACTGAGAGCAGGGTCTTTTATTTTTTACCTTTTAGAGACAGTGTCTCATTCTGCCTACCAGGCTGGGGTGCAGTGGTACGATCACAGGTCACTGCAGCCTTCAACTCTTCGGCTCAAGCTATCCTCCCACCTCAGCCTCCTGAGTAGCTAGGACTACAGGCGTACACCACCACACCCAGCTAATTTTTAAAATTTTTGTAGAAACAGGGCTGGTCTTGAGCTCCTGGCCTCAAGCAATCCTCTTGCCTCAGCCTCCCAAAGTACTGGGATTACAGACATGAGTCACCATGCCCAGTCCTGAAGGCAGGATCAGAAAAGATATATGTATATCTATGTTCACAGCAACATTATTCACAATAGTCAAGAGAGAGAAGCAACCTCTATGTCTACTGATGGATGAATGGATAAGCAAAATGTGGCATGTACATATAATAGAAAATTATTTAGCCTTAAAAAGGAAGGAAATTCTGACACAGGCTACAACGTGGGCAAAACTTAAACACATGAAGTTAACAGATATGCACCAGTCACAAAAGGACAAATACCATATGACTCCACTTACATGATATCCTAGAGTAGCCAAATTCATAGAGTCAGAAAGTAGAAGCCTGGGCAACGTAGCAAGACCTCATCTCTACCAAAAACTTAAAAATTAGCCAGGTGTGGTGGTGTTCCTGTAGTCGTAACTACTCAGGAGGCTGATGCAGCAGGATTGATTGAGCTCAGGAGTTAAGAGGCTGTGGTGAGCTGTGATCATGCCACTGCACTCCAGCCCAGGTGACAGAGTGAGGTCCTGACTCAAAAATTTAAAAAAAGAGAAAGAAAGAATTGTGGGTGCCAGGGGTTGGGGGAAGGAGGGCATGAGGAGTTTCAGTCTTGCAAGATGAAAGTTCTGGAGATGAACGGAGGTGATGACTGCACAACACGTGAATGTACTAACACCACTGAAATGTACACTTGAGAATAGGCAAGGCCGGGTTCAGTCGCTCAACTTGTAATCTCAGCACGTTGGGAGGCCAAGATGAGTGGATTCCCTAAGCCCGCGGGATCAAGACCAGCCCAGGCAACTTGGCGAGACCTCACCTCTACACTAAATAAGAAATTAGCCAGGTGTGGTAGTGCGCGCCTGTAGTTCCGGCTACTTGGAAGGCTGAGGCAGAAGGATCGCCAGAGCCCAGCAGGTCGACACTGGAGTGACCATGAGTATGCAACTGTACTCTAGTCTGGGCAATAGAGTGAGATGCCAACTCAAAAAACAAAAAACAAAAAACAAACAAAGAATAGCCAAGATGGCAAATTAATGTTACGAGTACTTTACCACAGTTTAAAAAAATTTTTAAAGGGGGAATCTTATGGCAATGATATCTCCAACATAAAAGAAAAGAAAGTCTTCAACAATAAATAGAAACAACTTCCTTTCTTCCACTTCCCAGAACCTAGACCTTGCTTAGTACCAGACACATAGGGAGCACTTAATTGTTGTGAAATTCCATTTACATCCTGAAGGCGTGTAGTGCGGACAAATCATAATAAAGTCATTGGCCAGGCATGGTGGCTCATGCCTGCAATTCCAGCATTTTGGGAGGCCGAGGCAGGAGGATCGCTTGAGCCCCAGAGTTCGAGACCAGCCTGGGAAACATAGTGAGACCTCATCGCTACAAAAAATACAAAAATAGTCAGGTGTGGTGGCAGGCACCGGTAGAACCAGCTACTTGGGAAGCTGAGGTGCGAGGATTGCTTGAGCCCAGGAGGCTGAGGCTGCAGTGAGCCAGGATCATGCCACTGTACTCCAGCCTGGGTGACAGAGTCAGACCCTGTCTCAAAAAAGAGAAAGATTTGGGAGGCAGAGGCAAGAGGATTGCCTGAGCTCCGGCATTCAAGACCAGCCTGAGAAATTTGGTGAGACCTTGTCTCTACGATAAATACAAAAACTAGCTGGGTGTGGTGGTGCGCACCTGTAGTTACAGCTACTTGGGAAACTGAGGTGGAAGGATCGCCTGAGTCCAGGAGGTTGAGACTACAGTGAGCGTGCCACTGCAATCCAATCCTGGGTAGCAGAGCAAGACGTCAACTCAAGAAAGAAAGGAAAGAAAGGAAGGAAGGAAGGAAATAAATAAATAAATAGAAATAAAGGAAAAAAGATAAGAAAAAGAAATGAGCTATCAAGTCACAAAAAGACATGGCGGAACGTTAAACACATATGCTAAGCAGAAGAAGCTAGTCTGCAAAGGCTACATATGATATGATTCCAACTATACAACATTCTGAAAAAGGCAAAATTATGGAGAAAAGAAAAAGATCAGCAGTGGCCAGGGCTCAGGGAGGAAGGGAGAGAATCTATTCTGTACCATACTGCAATGGTGGGTACACATCACTATACATTTGCCAAAGTCCATAGTAAGTACAACACAAAGAGTGACCCCTGTTGTAAACTATGGACTTTAGTTAGTTAATAATAACACATCATCAATACTGGTTCATCAATGCTAATAAATGTACTACAGTAATGCAATTTTTTTTAAGTCAGGGTCTCACTCTGTTGCCCAGGCTGGACGGCAGTGGCACACTGCAACCTCATTTTCCTGGGCTTAGGTGATCCTTCCACCTCAGCCTCCCGAGCAGCTGGGACTACAGACATGCGCCACTACACCTGGCTAGTTTTTTGATGTTTTTTTGAGAGGCAAAGTCTCACTATGTTGCCCAGACTTGTCTCAAATTCCTGGGCTCAAGCAAGTCTCTCACCTCTGCCTCCACCTAACAAAGTGTTGGGATTATAGGCGTGAGTCACCACACCTGACTTTGTCTTTTTTTTTTTTTTTGAGTTGGAGTC